TCCTGCTATATAAAAGTCACAGGAGAGCCCTTTGTCATGAATGTGTCTCATGGTGGAATAATGGTAGCATTATAGCATTTTCTAATTAGTATTCTGTCTTCACAACTATTACAAACTAAGACTGAACCATCACAGAATCTATGACAAGAGAGCTGGATGTAACCTTGGGGTTGTTTACAAAATAATTCAGCCATTTGCTTGTCTCCACAAGCCAATATAAGGACCAAATACAAGAAAAAGACAGTAATAAGAAGCTGTGTCTTCATTAAATGAACAAGAATTTGTTGTTGGATAAATGGCTCTAGTTAAGAGTATTTCAGGCTCTCCCAGAGGAACTGAGTTTAGTTCCCAGTACCTACATCATGTGGCTCACCTGTAATTTCAATTCTAGGGTAACCTACATGTTCTTCTGGCTTAAGTAGATACAGCAAGTTCTATCATATACACATAAACAAAAGGAATTTTTTAAGTGGATAAGAAACCATGTGTGTCTTTACCACATGGTAAAGACAGGCTAGGAATTAAGACCTTGCAATTAAGGTAGATAGAATTGAGAAAAGCATGGTTTCTATTAGTAAGCAAATAGCCTTCAGTCGTCGAACTGTTTTTGCTAGACAGGAGACAATGTCACGCAGCACTGTTCTAGATAGCTTATAGTTACGAAGTTAGCATCCACAGGTCAGCTAGAATTCTATTTGCTTTCTGCATTTCATTCCTAAAATACTGGACAAAACACGACAGTATTTTCAATTTCAAAACTTGCCAACTGTAATAAATGGCACAGGATGATATGAGACCTTCTTAAAATTACTGCTCATGCCATGTACAGAAATAGAGATGCCATCAGAATGGGCATGTTTCAACTATTATTCCTTTAAGGAGCCCTAGAAAATAATTTATTAACATAAACATTAGTATAAATGTATTATGAATTTTTGATCAGATCGTCTTTTCATGCCCTATAGGTTTGATGGTCTTTCTGCTCCAGAACTTTTATACTTTAGGTTTCATTTTGTTTTGTTTTGTTTTCAGAAGGAAGAAATGTGTTTCTGGGAACCTTTATGTCCTTTCTAGAAAACAGTTTTCCCCGGCTGTTTTTTTTTTCTTTCTGCACTTCATTAGTTTTTTCTCCTCCTATTACCAAAGTTTTATCACTTTTTGCTGATTCTCAATGAAAGTGGATGTGTCCAGAACACCTAAGTCAAAAGTAACACTGAACAAGCTAAAAACAAACCTAGCACACCCCTAAAGCACTGAATACATTCGGGAACATCTGAATTCAGTCAGAAGTTGAAATATGAAACTAAAATTTGCCACCAATAAATAAAAATGCCAATTTTCACTAAGGGCTTCACTAAGAAACCAGTTCATTTTCTGCATCAGCCAAGAAAAGTCATGAAAACACAGCCAGCTTCAATGTCACTCAATATGCTTTGCTACGTTCACCTTTCTGTTTTATTCAAGGAAATAAATAAGTTTTGTTTAATGGACTGCATTTATCATCCCCATTTTCTGTTGGTTTGTTGTTGTTTACAACTTTTAAGCTTTCACAAATCTTTCTCAATTCACACTGAATCTAACTACCACCTTCAGCACTCTTTTCTAGACATCTGTATTGAGCTGACACGGTTTCTGTTTCCAGAGCCTCGTACTCCATCAGATTCATGTGAGCTGTTTTCTGCATCTTATGATAAGATAGGACTTCATCTTGACACAATATTAGAAATAGTGTGTACTCAACATGAATTTGCTAGACTCTAACAGAAAAGGTAGGGTGTGGTATAAAGGGCCATGTACCTGCTGTTTCCTGGTCTCTGTTAAGAGCTCTTTACTCCCAACCCAGACAGTATCCTGAATTATTATTTTTTTAATTGTTGTTACTATTGGTGTTGTTTGTTTGTTAATTTTTTGAGATAAAGTTTCTCTGTATAGTCCTGGCTTTCCTAGAACTAACTCTGTAGCCCAGGCTGGCCTTAAACTCAAAGATTTGCCTGCCTCTGCCTCCTGAGTGCTAGGATTTGAGACATGTGCTACTACTACCCTGCAAAGATTGTGATTTGTAAAGCCTCCAGATAGATGTCACCTTTTCTACAATGCCTCTGTAAGTTACTAAACCTGGGTTAGGAGCCCAGTCAATCACAGAACACTGTGACAGACATCATTATTGAAGTCTCCCAAGTCAGTCAGGCAAGTGTTGCTTAAGAATAATAATATATTCTGAACTTTTTACTGAATGAACTTCCACCACATTGCCTGCTACTCAGTAGTTGTTCAAAGTGTGTCTGCTAGGTCTAGGGTCTCCATAGTTTGATGGATGATAATTATAATAAAGACTAATTAAACTCTGTATGTTAAATATGTACCACTTTTTTGTTTATTTGGTTTTTTTGTGAGACAGAGTCTACCTTGTAGTCCTGCTTGGCTTGCAGCTCACTATGAAGATCAGGTTGGCCTCAAACTCACTGAGATCATCCTGCCTCTGCCTACCAGGTGCTAGACTAAAAGTATAGTCTAGCTTCTACCACTTTGTATATATTTCAATTATATTTCAATAAAGTAGATTCAAAAACCTATTTACCTGTTAATAATAATAGAAACTCAGAAAGAATTAAAAAGAATCAACACATAAATATAATCTTTCACTCATATTAAATTTTACTGTGATAAAAAGTGGGCTGGCCTCGTATTTTCACTTTTAATTTTCAGAAACTGAAAAAGAAGATTAGACAAAATGAAGACCTTATCGGAGTGCACTTTGAAAATTCTATTACTTGTGGTGCAACCTGCCATCGTTTTTATCAAATAAACGTCAAGTGAAGGTCTGTGCGGGAAAGACTGATTTGGCAGAGTGTAAAGTGGGTCAAAGTTAGTACTTAATCCTGAGTGAATTTCACAAATTATACTTTGCTAAAATTTCTTCTTTCACATTTTTACTTTTAATATTGGTTTTTCTCATTATTTCTTTCAGTGTGGGATAAGATTGCTATCTTGTCCAAAGCTGAGGATTCTTTTGTTGTTTTGCATGCTTGAGACAGAGACTTGCTACTAACCCTGGCTGTCTGCAAATTTCCACTCTTCCTGTATCAGCCTTTCCAGTGCTAGGATTACAGGAGTGTCACCATATCTGGATGGATCTTGGAGTTCTTCACTTACTGTTTAAATGTCCCATCCGATATAGTGCCTTGGCCACCATGTCCTCACCCAGGTGTCCTCTCCTCTATATATGAAACTGTTCTCTGTCATCAGTGGACTCTCCTCTTACTGCAACCTTTATGTTTCATCTTTTGTTTCATATTTTCATCTCATTGCTTCAATGTTCTGTCATTCTCTATAAAAACCAATGCTGCTCTGGTAGCTCCCAGATTTGTGCCTTTAGTCTCGCTTTACTTTTCCGAACCCAAATTTCTAACTGGATAGTTCATACAAAAACCTCATTTAGAATACATATTCACTACTGAGTTAAACAGTGATTTCCTTTTTGGTATTATACATCTTTGGTGAATAGTAACCTTGTCCAATTTGCTTCAGATTTCCTCTTGATATTTCACCACTTTGTTGAGCCATGTGTGATACTGTTCCTTCCTCTGACCTCTATAAAGCACACACTGATGACCCCTGCTGTACTTCTACTCAAGTATCTTTCCCGTTTCCCTTTGACTCCTGTGTGGACCACTATTTGCCCTACCTTTTAGTTATGTAATTTGTCGAATGCTAACTGACTACATGATGACTTCTCAAAAATTTTCTCTACCACATTAGGGGGCTCTGGTTATTTCAGCAGTACATGAATATGTACACATGCCTTCTGTTCAACTTCAAATATTTCCCAACAATTTCATCTTGACTTTATCATATAATACAATAAAAATAAAAAATATATTTTTCATCCCAAGCAGGTAACAGTTCTATTTAACATGTCACAAGATATTCAGTAAATGGCTCCTAAAATGGAAAGTGAGGTTTCACATGATTGACATCACACTGGTTTTTGCATCCAGAGCTCTAGTGAGTTTCTGCTGTCTATAGAATGCAGCTAAACCTGCTGAGCACAACATGCCACTTGACTACCATTTTACCACCCCAACCCTCACCCCTTTCCTAGCTTGCCCAAGTGTTCTGGGTCCAGCCTGACAGGAATACTTGCTGCCCTAACTAAAGTGTGCACTGCCACTAAATATATAACTTTCTGGTTCTTACAGTTTGTAAGCTTCCTATTTGACCATCAAAATGATGTTCAGAAATGTATGGACTCATCTCATCCTAGCATCGTTTGTCTTAAGGATAACTGTGACATTAGTCTTTTCATATTTCCTACTCTATGCTAGGCTCACTGAAGACAGAGGCCAACTTCTTTTCATTGCCAAGGTCTACTCTTAACACTTGTACTTTATGTATTTCAATGATACCATCTGTCTTTCTATTGGTTATGAGGTCAGCTGAGACTACATCTTTGGACAAACTTCTCAACTAACTGAGTTAATTTTGTATTTCTGGTTAACTGGCTTTCATACTGTGCTGTGTGGTATATTTTCTAATGTTTTATTTTTCCTCCAATGTTATTTTATACTTGAATCCTTCCCATATTTTAGCACACAAGCAAAATCTTACTATCATACATTATTTTGAAATACTTAAGTTCTTATAGCTTCTTTCAGACTTTTTGCAGATTTTAATACTTTCTTCAGTTATAATAAGTATTATTATTTTGCTATCAATTATCAACTGTATTCTATATGTCACAATAAATTGTATTTTTGCAACTTGTTCTCTCTCTTTCAAAATAATTTGGCTGGAATAGAAAAAAATCCCACAATGTTACAATGAGGAGACTGTGTTAGCATGAATATGAAAAGAGTATGATGACTCCTAGATAGTGAAGGTATGAGTCTACACAAGAGAATCTTCCATGTTATAGGCAGCAATCCATTCTTTTATAACCACAATAGCACTGAAATACAGGCTCTATATTCACTTGCCTTTCTTTCCTTAAATTAACTTACTTTATGTTTTCATTTGCAGGAACATCAGGTAGTTGCACAGTAATCATGCCATCCAAGTTTGTCTTCCCAATGAAGGCAGGCTTGGTGCGGAGCACATCTGGGGCAGTCTTTGCTGTCACCCTATGCTGCAATCCACCAGCACTGTTCCCACGATTGGTTAACACAAAGGAATATGACTTCTCAGGCTTCAGGTTAACAATCAGCTTCTGGGTAGCTCTGCCATCCACTTCTTCCACCATTTTCCCATCATCATAAAGAATCTACAGAGACACAATCAATCACAAGTTGGTTATCAGTCTCTCAACCAAATGTTATTTACTTGCTTTGCCAGTTTAATTCTATTTCTGATCAGTTCCTGATCTCATAAGTATCTATAATTCTGGCGTCTGACCAGTTCTCTTGATAGTTCTTACTCTGTAAAGGTAAAATGTTCCTGAGTCTCTCAAAAATACACAACAAAGAAATAATACAATAACTTTTCAAGATTTAACCCATTATTTAGATGTGTTCATACCAGAAAGAGTTCTAGGCTTTCAATGTATTATATCTATAATTTACCAGGAGGTTTGAAATCCTGTTCTAAATATATTTTCATTTACCAAAAACAATTTTCTATTTATTTCACAAATAATAACTACTTGCTGCAATTTTGCAAGATCTCAGTGGCATGTCAGTTTTATTTTTAAAGTGCTTGGAGTTCAGACCAATAAATACAATCTTAAAATCATATAGAACCGTGCATTGAAAATTAGCTGAAATCCTACCAACCCTCTCCTCTTTTTAATGGGAATAGAAAGTAGTAGTTTGCTGTAAAAAGTTCAAGTTTAACTTACTAGGTACCATGTCAGTCACACAACAAAGGTCACAGTGTTGAAGCTCCACATGCAACTTGTTCATCAAAGTCACGAATAACATTAGAGCATATGAGCCCAAATCAACTTTGTTTTGTAGTACTAGAGAGCTAACCTCGGGGCCCACACATGCTAGGCAAATGCTTTACCATGGAACTATATCCATAGCTCATCTGTACAAATCAAGCTTGTTGTATGTGTTACAAATAATGTCCCATAATGAGCTGTCCATTAGAGTTCTGCCCATGATACTTAAAGAATACTTACTTTGAAAGGCATAGCAGAATTATAATTCTCTGGAATCTCCCAGGACAGCAGCACTGACGTCTTCATAACTGCTTTGACATGAAAATTTTTTGCAAACACTGCTGGAAAAGGAAAAACTATGTATTTATATGATTCTTAAAGCAAATAACTTGTTCTTTTCCACCACGGATCATAGGGCTTAGGATAGACGCTGCCTACATAGAACAAAGACAGAAATGTGATTTGCCTACCTGTTTAGAGCATTCATTTTAATACCCATTTTCTTAAAGAACTCTCTTTTCTCTCCATTCAGTCACTATCCTCTGTTTATCTTACCTGAGGACATAGAGTACTGCCAGCCAGCCTTGCAGTGGCATTCTATAACTGAATCTATAGTTTTCAAAATGGATTAAGTCATACATACATTACCTGCTTGTTGTGCTGAACCTATTAATATGAATGAGCCGATCAGTTATCTACAGCTTCAAAATATTTCCAAAGATCGATATTCCTTTAAAGGAGGAAGGCCATAAGCAGACAAATCCTACCTTGATCCACAGGCAGTGTCCTGAACTGGACACTGGGACTATATGGCCCGGGCCCTTTGCTCGTGTGAGCACGTACTTTTACATCATATGTAGTATCTGATTTTAAGCCAGTGAGTGTCATAGAAGTGTCAGCTGGAACAATAAGGTGCTCCATTGGAAGTAGGGGAGCGTTGATATCCCTATACAGGAGGGTATACTTGGTGATAACGCCATTTCTCTCTGCTAGGACAGGTGGTTGCCATGATAACTGAACAGAGGTTGAAGTGGTGCCTTCTGAGTGGAGGTTTTGAGGGAATCCAGTTGGTATTTCTTCTGGCACAGAAATTTCTTTCACCATTTCCTCCCCGAAGCCCACTTTGTTTCTGGCTGAGAGTCTAAACACATATGATGCACCCTTGTGGATGTCTGTGGCTGTGAAGTGATCTTCTTTGTCAGAGAACTCCAAAGTAGTGAGTGGCTCCATGTCTTTCCGGCCAAACTTTAGTCGGTAGCCCTGAAGGGGTCCAAATGTGTCCACAGGGGGATGCCATTGAATGAGAGCAGTATTCATTTGGGTGTGGTTTATCACAAGTCTGGGTTTCCCTGGAACTAGAGAACACATAATGGAGTGGTAAGAATGGCTGCCATTTAGGATCATATGTCAGCTAGTGCCAAGTGGGGAAGCCACTCTATTAGTATTCCCCCTTTCTTGTTCATAAAAAAGCAATGCTTATTGTATATACCATTGTCAAATAATCATCTTTTTCTTTCTTTAGTAAAGTAGGCTGACACAGAATTTGGTAATGAATACAATCTTTGTAAATCCTTGCCATAGAAAAATGAATCCAAGTAATGATTAACAAAGTAGATATAGCTAATGAGAGGGATAACTACAATGATTAATGATTATGCACATATACTAATAATATAAGAAGAATATTGTGTATCATTAGATTTAAACACTCCCTCCTCACTGTATGTGCTAGGTGGCCATTATTATCTCCATTTTCTGTAATGAAAAACAGGCCCATAGAACTAGAAAACTCTCTAAGGTTAGGTACACAACAAATAAAGCTGGAGATCATATCTACAGACTAGAACCGTAGTCTACACCCATAACCATGCATCCATTTGTACATCATTGTAACTTCCCTTCTCTACACAAGTTACTCTTATGATGTTCTTTATCTAACTATTGTGAATTATTAAATGAAGAGGTACAGATAAAAGATTTTCACTAATATCAGTGAAAATTATCAATCATCCGAGTGATGAGCTGTTTGTGTTTAGGAGCTACTCTCTTTTGAGGACACATTTCAAGTTAGATTAGATATATAAAGATGTACACCATATTCATTGAGAACCTATTACCTCTGCTATTGTTAGTGGGGAAAGCAGCTATTTCTGGAGTTGATAAACGACAACACTAAAGAAGAGTGGAAAAGGCGGGGAAACCACAAACAACAGGAAACCAAATCTATAGCAAGAAATAGGAAACAAACAGGGAGAAGGGAAGGCTTACACTCCAGGAATACAGGAGATTAAAAGGAGCATCATAGGGATTCTTACACAAATTCTAAGAAAAGTGTATACAGATGATGAGGCAAACCAAAACTCTTGCAAGATTTCTGGTTAACATGTTCATTTTATATGCCAGTAAGTTGTGGCCCAAGTAGGTATCAGCACTGCTCAAGGGTATGCTCCTTAACCCCTGGAATAATATCTTTCATTTACATCCTTAGCAGATTCAGAGTACATGTATGTAACTAACATCCAATATATGGAAATAATATAAGTATGCATGGGTTGGGCCAGGACTCTAACTACAATGAATTCAGTGTTTCTCAAAGAAATATATTCTAACATGTTCACATTGAATACATTTTCAGAGAAATGTACTTTAACATTTTTACTTTCAGAATGCAGAAAATTTTAATTTAAAAAAAGACTTTATACCAGACATTGGTAGGATCATACACATCACTTCATGTATATAAAGAGTTTATATTTTTTCCATAAAGATGTAAGTCTCTGCTAAGAAAAAGTTCATGCTACAATTGGTGTCTCAAACAGAGAATATATCTCTTAAACAATACCAACTTGAAACTATGATGTGGGACTATAATTCTTAATTTTATATGCTCTTTCGAAGGGTTGCTGTATTATACTGAGAGAATGATAGGAATAAAAAGAGAAAGGAAAAAGAATAGCATCACTCCATATACAGTGAAAAATAATTTTCCAAAAGTTCATATAATGACAATAGAACTGCTTCATTTGGGACACCAAGAAGCATTATGAATAGGAAACATTTATGATTTGTTTGTACTGCACAAAACCCTGTACCAAGACATACAGGGATAAGAGCAGGAAAATCAAAGTTCATAGGGTAATTGTGTATAAACTAACACTTATATACCAAAAAAGATAAAGAGGTGGAAGAGATGGTACTATATGTAGATTCTGGATCGAGGTTCATAGGTGACAGTGAGGACCACATAAGAAGGTCAGGCCAGTATCAGAGTGGGTGTTCTACTTTGTACAGTACTGATGCTTGAGAGCTTTCAGTGTTAGAAGAGTCTCACATTCTCAGAGGAGGGCTGAAGTGAGGGGTAACAGCCTCTTAGTAATCAGCAGACACAGAAGCCAAGCTGCATAGTCAACAAGCTTACACTGTCTACTGTGACATGTCAATGCCTGTCTTGCACCTTTGTGACATGTCAATCCAGACCTCCTCTTGTACCTTTGGGACATGTCAGTGCTCCTTTTGGACCTTTGGGACATGCTTGCGCCTCCTCCTGCACTTTCAATTCTTTTTCTTTATTAGACTTTTCACTCTCTAAAATCTTTTAGGATGGGCACAATGATTAATACATGTGGATAGTTCAAAACTCTTTGCAAGATCAATCTCTGGAAGTCAACTGAAGCCCACAGTTTTAAATGTTCCAAACTCAGCCTCCATTTAAATAATGATGAGTAAGCATAGCTGATTGCCCTTAGCCTATTATTTCCAAACTCTCCAGTCACTGTCATTTGATCACCTTTACACACAGCTGGTCAGCAGAGTACTGAAATCCATGGAACAGTATACAAAAATCATCAAAGCAATGGATTTGTAAATTTTTATTTTATTTTAAGTTATGTTTATATGCAGTTCTCTGTGTAATAAGATATGCACATGAGTGCAGGTACCCACTTTGGCCATACAAGGGGTAAGATGCTGTAAAGCTGGAGTTACAGGTGGTTGTAGGCCTCTGAAAGAGCAAGATTTCTCCAGCCCGCAAAGTAATGACGGTTTTTGGTTGTCTTAAATCTCAAGGCCTTAGGCAGTATAGAAATTATGATACAGAAAGGTGAGAATATTTAAAAAGAAGCTATACATATCATTCAAACACAGAAAAGCTAGCTCCATATGAGTTTTCTTATGTTAGATATAAGTCTTACACAGATTGTTAAAGGATTGATTGCTTACTGATTCTAGAAATGATGTACAATAAAAAAACCTATAGAAAAGGTTTTTACCCTTAAGATAATATTTCAAGGGAGTCTCCAAATTATCCACAGAAGCTATAACTTATATACCTTTATAACTGTTATTATGTGTTCATTACAGACTCAGAAACAGAAGAGGTACTTTTCTGATTATATTCAAAGTGAATTAATATGTTCACACATTGCAGAGAAATAAACCAGGGTGAAGGGATGCTTTATTATTACAAGGTAGGTAAGCAACATAGGAGCATTAGATGGCCTCTTTAAGGAAAAAGAGTGTGGCTCAAGCATCTGTATTGTAAAAATTTTCGTTTCATTATCCAAGCTTTTCTCAATTAAGAAAAAAATGGAAATTGTGAAAGAAAACTTGAACAAGAACCACCATTCTAAAAATCTTGTACAGTGACAAAAAGTGTTACTGTAAAAAAGAGTCATTCCTTTTGTGAGGATTTTGGCTGTTCTTCTATATATACTCTGCGTTTATGTCCCTGTCCCTAAGTCTCATCTCATGGGCAGTAAGAATCTGATAATTCACATAAGACATTAGTGATACAAAAGTATGTCAGTATAAATAGAACAAACTATTTTGTCAACTTGGGATTCCATGCTTCAACTTGGGATTTTTATCACATACCTATGTTTTCACACTGGTTACTCCTATAATCACAGTCATATGTCATGCTACCACAACCTCACTGAATGTCTCTCTTCTAGTATGATATAATGGGGTGATACAATGGTAATTTTTAAATCAAAGAGAGAGAAGTAAGGAAGGAAAATGGAAGAATAAAAAACCCCAACATCTTTATCTTGATGGAGTTTTGCTAAACTGGATTCCTGCCAGTTGAGGCAAGTCCAGGTGGCAGGATGCAATCGAGGCAAATCTTGTGACATTTAGATAAATTTGGCAGTGAGGTGGCACCCAGGAGGGTGCTCAACATCACAGCTGTTCTCTGCTTTCTGTCTTTACGTAGAGAGGGATTCCTACAAAGTTGTGCAAGAGGCAACTCAGGAGGAGTATATCAAAACCACAGCAGAAATGTTCCATGGGAGATTGTATTAAGACAGGATTCAGACTCCTTCTCTAATTATCCCTTAATTTATCAGTTTATGATGCTAGTTCTTCCTGCTGGCTTTCTCTAATATGGCCAGGCAAAACAAGTCTATCAAGCACCAAAGAAGCTGCCCATCTTTCTAGAAGAAGTAATCTGAAATTATTTAGCCTTTTGATAGTCTTTATCCTACTTTTTGTTTTACACCTTTAGGGTAATTATCTTGTTTTAAAGCCTTACAGAAAAGGTTAGAGGGAAAATTAGAAAATATAAAGCTGTAAGCCATAAACCCAATCATATGACAACTCCATCTTAGAGAAGTTTGTGACAGTCAATGTTAACTGCTAACTTGGCAGAATCTAGAATCACATGGAAGGTGGACCTCTGGGGGATGATTTTGATTAGGAGAAAAAATCAGCCTAAATGCAGGCAGCAACATTGCTTGGACATGAGTTCAGGGCTCAATAAAAGGAGGAAACATGCTGAACACATGAACACAAGCATTCATTGCTCTGTTTATTGACTGGAAATTCAATGTGATCAGCTGTTTCAAACTCCTGCTGCGTTGACTTCTCTGATATGACAGAGTGTATTTTGAAGTTTATGCCAGAACCAACCCTCCCCCTGTAAGGTTACTTTTGTCAGTCTTTCATTGCAACAACAGGAAAAGAAACAAAGTCAGAATCCTTGTGGGGATCGTGCAGAATCACTGTGTGACTTTCCTGCTTAGATGCCTTTTGCCTTGACCTTCAAGAATCAGAGCTCCTCTACATTCAGTTTTAATAACCTGCTCTGCCCAGAACAATGGCATAGGCCAAGGCAGGGAGGGCTAATAATTAAGAAGATCCCATCTCAAATAAAACAAAGAAACAATACAAAAAACAAACAAACAAACAAATGAACACCAAAACACCCTAATACCAAGAAAAAGGCCTCCCTGGGGTCAATATGCCTACATCCTTTCTTTTTATCTTACTTAGCATATCCTGACATTTTCTCACATGCTTACTTGCTAATTTACTAATCCAGATCAGAAAATAAATTTAATGAGAAGAAAATCTTTTTTTGTTACTATTATATACCTAGTTCTGTACATGGTAGTGGGCACACAGTAGATGCTCAAAAATAACTTGTTGAATGACTAATTGGATTATTTAGACAGTATACATTTTGATCTTCTTTTTCCCTATCAGCTTAGAAAAATGTTTCACAGTTGAGCATGGTCTCTTTTTCCTCAGTGTCCCACAATGAAAAAAAAAATCATAGGTTACATCCATAGTATACGAATATCTGTAATAGGGCTGAAGGTACAAATATGCACAGAAGACATTACCTGCCCCAGTGGTGGACACTAGCTTGGGCTTGCTTCGAGCGCCATCTCCTTTGGTAGTGTAAGCTGTGACGGTCAGGGAATATGAAGTTTCAGGCTGCAGCCCAGAGATGATCATGTCCTGAAATGACACATGCCAAGAACAGTGATTTAAAGCATGCCAAGAGGAACGTGGAGGAAAAGAAGGTGACTGATGTTCATTCTGTGCATGCCTGGACATGTCCCGAAGCCATGCTAAGCGCTTAAGTTCCATGCCTTCAGCTCATGCTATGGAGATGGGTCTTGATGTTAATAGTGAAGTCGGGTATTTGAGCATCCTCAGCTCAAAGCTTTCAGAAGCAGCTTTCAGAAGGAATAGTTAAGACTGAAATCTGGAACCAGACTTCCTTGACATCCCTGAATTTAACCATTCTTAATTGTTTGATATAAAAAAAAATTAATAGGTTGGTAATCTAGGAGTGTTTACCCATTTACATTTGTATGTCCCAACATAAAATTAGAATACTAGAATCCCAAATGGATGAAAGATAAGTAAGTTTTATCAGGAAAATTCTTCTATCTGGGTCTGGTATATCACAGCCATCTGACATAATAGCTGTTATTTTGTAGAAACATTTTTCCAGTGATGCCCTGCAATGTAGCTAGATTGGTGACAGGACAGATGTCAGCATGGTATTTCTGCCCGCAGGAAGTTGATAGTAAATAAATGGTTGACCTATTGAATCTAGACATCGCTTGGGGCCAAAGAATATTTTGAAGATATTAGGAAATAACGACTGGTTAATTATATAGCCTGATAACAAAAGTTGTCACACAACGAAGAGAATATTCTGGATATTTAGTGAGCAGCTCTTACAAATATGAATGAGATTTGAATTTATGTAATGTTTGCTTAAATAATTATTTCTGATAGTTTGGTAGACTATCTGAAATTTTTTCATTTTCTTTTAATAAGGGCCCAGAACTATTATAGCTTTAAGACTATCATTGAACTGTTTCTCTAAATTGGATGTTACATAATTCTTCAGCTGGAGCTCTGGCTAGCAACTTGTTTTGGTGTTTGTGTTTTTTCTTTGTTTTTGTTTTTGTTTTCAGATCCATACACATTCTATACAGACAAAAAAAAAGTATGGAGCAATTAACTAACTACTTGACTCTTTTGCATAAATACATTTTCAAGTTGATTATGAATATACTTAAGAAAGTATTTAATATCATTATCTTCTCAAGCTAAAGGCAACCTTAGTGAGTGAGGAGTGAGTGGACAAGGCTATAAGAAAAACAGTAGAAATTTTCCTAGCAAAGCAATTTACAGGTGCCATGAAACATAACTGCTGAAGCTGATGCCAAATGTGACAGCTTTGACAAGTTACTTTCTCAAAAGAATAAGAATATCATCATTGTGGAAATTGAAACATTTCAAATACCATCCTGTTGAGTGCTTGAAGACTTTATTTAGGCACATAGATGGACATTTTCAGAAAAATATATTTCATCTTTAGGACCTTGAAATGCTTTTACAGAGGACACCTAGACTTGGTGAGCAGTATTATACACTATGGTAGAAAAACTGGATATTCCGAAATGATGATGGCATAGATACTAACCTCTTAATGAGGTCTTCCAAGATTACTGCTAGATAGCAGGCAACCTTGGCACATAGAAGTTCTAGTATCAAGTATGTGGCAACTTTGATTCTATTATAAGGTTTTCATTCCTAACATTAGAGATAATATTTCCTCCCTGTGTCTTTCTCTTTTTTGCAGTTGTTATAAGATACATCAAATCTGGTCAAGTCCTATACACTATTAGTCTTAGCTAACTATAACACAACTATTACAATCATGCTATTACTTGGGCTACATTTTCTGTCTGTAAGTGAACTGCATTTGCATGGTGGTATTGGTCTACTCTGAGAGTCAGAAATCCTTCTGCCTCTCATCACCTCCTGTCTTCCCTTGCACTCATGCCTTCTAAAAGCCTGTGTTCCTAAGGTCTTGTCCCAGTGCCATCAGCCTCACTGCCGTCTAAACTTGGAAAAATAACTGCATTTTTTTGGAAAGGAAAATAATTATTTCTCACTATAGTTCAATATAGTGGCCCTCTGCTTCAAGTAGCAATGTAATGTGGAATCTATTCGATGTCTCCCTATGACATATAGTCTTCAGTTTAAGTGAAAAACCTGGAAAGCCATCCCCTGTGCAGACTCTCCCTGATGATTGTGGTTTAATGACTGATAACACCTCTTTAACCTCCCACCACTTTTCCTCCTTAAGGTCTTCACCAGCAAGCTTTGGTCAAGTTTTGATTTAAATATTGATCTATCTGATCCTTTTCATTTCTGCTGCCTCAAATTTTGTTGGATTTTTGTCACTTCATTAAGAAATTAGTAGAATATCTATTTATTTGTTCTTAATAATTTTTTGTCTTTTCATACTCTAATTTATCCATTAAATTGCTGTTTTTCAATGAGATAGTGTTTAATTCTCGTTATCATGAAATCAATTTAATCAATGGACAGTTTCAAATAAAGTAAGAAAAGCAATGGTCTTAAGCATAAAATGTTGAGTTAATTACATGTTTTAAGATAAATATGGTTTTATAAAAATTTTTAATTCTTTCAAACACATATATACATTGGATCATATCATAAGTGTGTTTCAAACTATGGATCTTAGTCTAATAAAATAGTGCTCTGTACTAAATTTTATGGTATCTGATACACTATTAATATTTTCCAAGAACTCCAAAAGGAGCCTTGTGCTTTGGCAATAAATATTTATACATTAGGTCTCATGACACTCTGTGGCATTTAAAACACTTTGATTGGCATCATGGCCATTTGTCCTGAGAGACCACAAGTTTTTCAGGGTCAATGTTTACTGCACATTTATCTCTATATGCTTTGCATATGGTGTAATAATGAATACCAAAAGATTAATTAATGCTAATTCTATTCAGTCTAAGAAAGGAAAATGCTCTTTGTAACCTTTATATGATTTTGCTTTTTAATATGTTTCAATATCTCTCCAAGACAAAATAGTGAAGGACTCACTAGTCTTCTCCTGACACCTCAGCTGTCATAGTTTTTTCTCTTTGCTCCATTCCACGGAAGTTTTATTATAAGAAGCTTTTATTTGTGTCCAATTAGTAGGTTCACTGTCACATGACCAGAGGTCAGTCCCATTCGTGTCCATGGCTGCACATGTTGTGCACCACTATAAACAGATAACACATCTTTCTTAGCCCAAATATTGTGCACCACTATAAACAGATAACACATCTTTCTTAGCCCAAATATATACATAAATATTGTCATCTATGGAACTACAGGGCATTGCTTCAGTTCTCAAGTATACTGCCATTTTGCAGTTATTTTGAAATTATAACCATCTGAGCATTGCCGCTGATTTCTATGGCTTTACACCTTTATTTAGGACATTTTTGGTACAAATTTATATCTGTTT